GGAAGGACCTTACCGCGTCCACGGCACCACGGGTACCGGGGCGTACTACCTCGAGCAATTAGACGGAGAGCCATTACCACGACCCTGGAACGCTGCTAAGCTAAAGCAGTACTACAGTTAGAAACTACCAACACCTGGGACCCTCGACCAACAGCACCCGCGCTCGGTCAACGAGGAAAAACGTCCGACTTCGTATAAAGGCTAAGGTACAAGCCCGACATACGGCCAAATGGCACAGCATCGCGCGGTAAACGATGACGATCGATAGTGCCCGACGTGGACAGCTATACCGAGCACCACCGTCGTTGTACCCATGAGGCAGAACACCCAGCTCGCGATGGGCAGTTCACGCTAAGGGCGAATAGTCCCGACCGGGCTTCGCGCCCGACTGAGCAACCTCGCTCCAAATGCCCGACAAATCGTCAGGAATGACGGGCCATCTAAAAGGGTCAAAAGGAAGTCTCTCCCCTCGAGCACAACACCTAGGTGACTCTGGCCAGCGAAAGAAGGCCGGGCACATGGACAAACGGAAGGCGGGCAGACTCGCTCGCCAAAATCACAACCGCATACGGGCACGCCTCGGGCCCATGACTTAGGCTAAAAATTCATGCAAATATATGATTTCAAACAAGGGCAAAACATCCAAAATGTAAAATAGCATTCAGATATAAATGCCCGAAGGCGATAAAACAATTATAAACCGACCAAGAAGGCCGGCGATGTTCATAACGTACAACAAACGGGCACGCAGGCCCAAAGAATACAAATGTCAAGGGCACGCAGGCCCTCTATCCTAGTCAGGTCTCCCCAGAACCATCATTGTCGGCGCTTGGAGAGTCGGGCGGAGGAACGATCACGCCATCCACGATCTGATGTGTGTGGCCGATACCCTCAGTAACCAGACCAGGGTTTAGCAAGGAGAGTTGACCGACCGCGGAGTTGAACCCATCCTCCAGGGCACCGACGCAATCTGCCTCGAGGAGCCGGATATGGGCGACCAGCTCCAACCGACTCTTCAAAGCCACTATGTCCTCGGGCTCGTCCTCGGCAGGTTGCATGGCAGCATTCATTTCCTCGATCCGCTGGGCCAAGCGTCCGACTTCGGCCCCCAGACGATCCCTGTCTGCCCGGAGAAGCTCCCCCTCCTCGGCCAACTTCCCCGACTTCTCCTTCTCCAGGGTCAACATCTCCCTCTCAGCATCGAGCATCGCCGTCTGCTCGCGGAACATCTCCTCGGAGCGTTCCAGAGCAATCTTCAATTTCCGCGAGCTCGCGGTCAGGGCCGCCTTCTCCTGCTCGAGTTCTTTGACACGGGCAGGATCCCCTCCTTCCTCGGAAAGCACCAGAGCCATCTCGGCCATTTTCACCAGCCCATCCATGCTGGCGGCCAGATGCGTCTTCCGGTCCTCTTTACTCATCTTTTTTATAGCCGCAACTTCGTCGGCAATCACCGTCAGAGGGAATCTCCCGAAGAAGCCCGCCTCGCTGAAACAAGGGGGGAAGGCGAAAGACCTAACGGCACTGGCGTCCTCGCCAACAGTCAGACCACTTTCCACACGGGTCCTCTTCCTCTGCATCAGGACGACACTGGGGTCGATCTCTTCAACTTCTGGGGTCCCATCCGATGCGCCCCCCGAGCTTGGCGGCGAGTCCACCCTCACCGACTGGGGAGCACTTGGACTGTGTGGCGGGCCCATCCTCGTCGCCTGTGGGGCCTTCACAACCCTCCTGCCTCGCCTCTGATCGCAAGACAATTTCAGAAGCCTTTCATGTCGACCGGCCATCGAACCTGCACAAAATAAAAGTTGGGTCAGTATCGAGCAAACTCATAAATAAATGACGAGCAAAGTAATTCAAGCAATAAACGACCTAGCAGACGGGCAGCCTGCCTGTACGTCTCGCACTCCACGAGTGCCTTGGTGTCGATCGGCCGGGACTCAAACGTTGGGTAACCCTCTGCGTCCAGGATGTCGTCCCCTTCCCTCGTAGCCCACCGGGCAGGATGGAAGCTATCGACAAACCGACAAAGGGCGGCGTACGCCTCCTTGTCTTCCGAGCACATGTCCCCGGCAGCGGTGTGGTAGTAACCAGTCCCATGCTCGTAGTGCCTGAACATCCAGTGCACAGGGAACTTAGCCGTACGTGCCATTACAGGACTCCCACCGTCGCCCAAATCGCCTCCCCGTCGTCATCGCTAAGAGCCTCCTCCTCTTCGTATAAGGATCCTAAAGCCGAGGTGGTAACTGGCCGTACAACGTACCACTTGTCTTTGAAACCCCTTACGGAGTCCATATACATTTTGAAGAGTCTCCTCGACTGCTTCAGGGAGACCCAGCTATGTTTCCCGCCTCGAGACTGGCGCTGCAGGTGAAAAATCCGGAAGAAGAGCAGTATGGTCGCCCCGATCCTTAGATAGCGACACGTCAGCTCAAACGCCCGGATGAAGGCGAGTGAGTTTGGATGTAGTTGGGACGGGGCCAACTCCAGGTGAGTGAAGACCCCGACCTGGAAATCAGTGAAGGGCAGCCGCAGCCCAAGATCTTTGAACGCGATCTCGTACATCGCGAAGCTATATTCCGGATAAACCGAGCAGATCCTTGAACGGGATGACGGGCGCATGACTACGAAGTTCCTTTGGAAGTCGGGCTGGCCCTGGCCCGCCTCGATGACGGCGTACGGATTTCGGTCGTCTCGGCTGTAGATCGACGCGATCCCTCGAGGCTCGACGCCCACCCAATCCAGCAAAGGGTCGGTCACAGTATCAATCAGGTTGACCGACTCGTCGGCGCTTTGTTCTTCACGATCGTGGCGCTCGGAGGAGCTCGGCTCGTCCGCTATGGTTACCTGCAGACCACGGAAAACCAGTCAATTGGGCACGAAGCCATATGCTCGACAAATCACGTCGTCCCATTCACGACCACATAGTCCGTTTCCACGAATGGTTGCCTCCCCGACATCCTGAAACTCGGTGTTCTTCCTCAAACCAACTACGCGGTCACTCTCCAACATGTCGACCCAAGGTATGAACATGGCGAGCCACACCATGAGGCCCACGGCCAAGACCATGAACATACCGGGCGCGATCATGAATCAGGCGCCCTGGATCATGAAGACCCCGGGCAGCGCTGAAGTTTATCACCTAAAACTATGAATACGCCGACCACAAACATGCGTTTTCCGGTCCTAGGCATGAATATGTCGGGCTAAGTATGAGTTTACCGGGCTAATCCCACGCGCACAGCCCTAAAACATCTACAAACGCCAAAAATCATGCATTCTAACAAGAAAATGAAGAAGATAGACCACTTACTTGAATCAAAGAGTAGGATTTGGCTACAGAGTAGAAGAATCTGTGACAGAAAATCGCAATTGGAAAAAAATCTGGAAGAGCAGCAGCAGGGAGAGCACAGAGAATAGAAACGTGTTATGGGGCCCAAGGTTCCTATTTATAGTGATGACGTGGAATACCAAACGTCACCTCGGGCAACCACGGACTCCCTCTCCTCGACGCGCTGCTCCCAACGCAATGATGACCCTATCCCCATAGGGTGGCGGCACAGTTCCCGAAAGATACCTCGTATGCTCGACAGACGCGCCCGGTAAGGATCCTCCAGGCATCCACCGCGGAAGATGTCTCCGAGCACGACACGAGGAGGCCCTCGAGGGCCCACACCTCTGTCCCGGGCACGAGACCTCGATGAGGAAGCGACCTGAGTTCAAGTCATGGCTCCTCACAAAGGAACCACGACTTGGGGGGCTCCTGTTCTGGACTGGGCCCGACAGGCCCAAAAGCATTGCAAAGGCCCAGTCCAAATGGACTTACGAGGGCCACGCCGACCAAAGAGCACGACTGTGCCCGACGGGTAATCGCAGGCTCGACAGCACACCTCCAGCTCAACATGCTGCGGTCCAGCACCACATCCTGAGGTCCAGCCCGACATTACCTCGAGCACCCCATCTAGGGCAGACTCAGTCCACTGTTCCCCCAACGATACCCCGAAAAGACCGCGTCTCCGTCCGCCCGCACTTCACGCAGAACATCCAGGAAGGGGACCACGTGCGGGTCCCCACTACGCACGTAGAACCTAGCAGTTCCTCCATTGGGCCAAACCTGCCCGGCCCAATGAGGGAACCTTGGCCCAGCGCTGGGGGCTATAAATACCCTCTGCTTCCAGAGGGCCAGGTATTCATCATTCTAACCTTACACTTGCTATTATCTGCTCGTACTCCTACTTACTTCAGCATCGGAGTGCCTTGCAGGTACCCCCCACTTCGTTCAAAAAGCTTTCTGCTCGGAGCCAGCCGTGACGGTCCATTTCTGATCAGGTCAGATCAAATAGATATAGTGTTTTACGTTCCTATAATTAAATATTGTTACCGTTATCAATTAAACTGAATTGACTGGACAAATCATTCATGAGTGTTTTTATTAGTGTCTAGTTGTTATAGATAAATTATTCACATTTTAAAGGCAATATGGACCACATCAATTGTTAACTACCCTACCGAAAATCAAATTCTGAATTCCAATTGATTGAAATAGAGGCCAAGAATACATGAAACACAATAGATCAACATCAACCTCACAATCCTAAAAAAAACTCATCCAATGAATCGACCATCCCCCTCCACTCTCTTTAATTTCTCTTTACTTTCCTAAAAGAATTTCTTATTTTCTGCAACTTGAAACTAAAAGCCAAGCCACATATCCAACATGACACGTACCTTTGTCACATACCATACAAAATAAATTTCGCAGTCCTGTCTTGTGGAATGACGTGTCAACTAATTTCCCACTCATTTTCCTTAAGACTATGCTTTAATATTTACATACCCTCACACATAGAATCACACAAAACCACTCTCCAATTCTAGTTTCCACGGAAAAGTTTCAGATTCTCAAAAACAATATACACAGCACACAGAAAAACATCAACTAGAAATTATATATTTATATATAGATATATATATATACTCTCTTCAATAAGGTCTTGTTTTGCATGAAAGAGAACAACTCAAACACAAACACAAACACAAACACCATGACTCAACAATCCTCTACTAAACCACATGATCAAATGGATCTTGAATTCAAGAAACCTCGTCAACTCAAAGACAACAATCTTAAGGAGCACACAAACATGGATGTAACAATAGGGACATTAGTTGTTGAGGCTGAGGAGGAAAGTGGGAGAGAGAAGCTGAAGAGGCATAGAGTTGAGATGGCTGGAAGAGTATGGATTCCAGATATATGGGGACAAGAGGAGTTTTTGAAGGATTGGATAGATTGTACAACGTTTGATCCTCCTTTGATTTCTTCTGCCAAAATTGTGACAGCACGAACAGCTTTGGTTCAAGAAGCCACTGCTGCTACAGCTAGGTGTTAGTTTTAGTATATCTATGATTTTTTGTTTGTTCATTAGTCACTACTATATATTGAATATCGTGGATCGTTTATGCATCCTAATCTTTGTATAATCAATTTTTTTGCTTTGTTTTTGTTTTATTTTGCGTATATTATATATATTATGGATTTAGATTTTGGAGGCTATTGATGCATCACAACAATATTTTGTAATATTAAGATTTTTTAAGTGATTTTGTTTTAACTATTTGGATAGAAGATCTATATATGCGTTGTGTCTGATTAGAGAATAGTTAAAATTAAAACAGCAGTAGAAGATCACAATGTTAGAGAGAAAAAGTGTAACATCTCTCTAACTAACTATTACGAAACATTCCTACAGTCATCATCCCTAATAAACCAAAAGACCTAAACAAGAGCACGAACAGCATCTTAAATATGGAGGAATGGAAGAAGGTGTCATATCACAAGGGAAGGTATGTGCTGAGGTCAAAGGAGTGGGACATGGTAGGAAACATGCTGAGTAGAGAGGAAAGGATGAGAAGCACAAGCTTTTTCTATACTTCATTCCCAGATGATTGTAATGCAAGGGATATGTATGAGGTGAAGGAGGTATGATTTTGTGAGATTCTTTAATGTGAAGGATACGGAGTTCTTGGCAACAAAGCTTGACAACTTCTTCTTAGATGGATGGAAAATATTCGTGAACATAACAAGACAAAGAGGGGTCTATGAAGGATTCCGTCAAAATGAAGAACAAAATCATGAAGGTAGAAGTAAAGGACTTGAAAATCTCTCAATAATTAAATGTTTACACAACTGATTGAGCCATTGTCCAAGCATTTGAGTCATTGCCCAAGTAATTAATCCATTTTTGGCACAAAGGTAACATTGCCATTTTGGAAAAGCCAACTTTAATCACACTGTCAACTCATTGAGCTTTACACGTGTTCCTTCTTAACACACACAATCTCAAAGCCAGAAGAAACTTGTCTAGAGTCTGTTAACTACCCTACAAACTCTTGTACTTCACATTGAAACTATCCATTTCAAGTTTGCTTCAAAAACAAGTTTCAAAAGCATAACATCTGATTTTTTGTTTCTGATCAACAGAGCCTTCAAGATCTTTCCTCTATAAATAGAGAAGTTATACGCAACCTAACACACGAGTTTACAAGCTTTGAGACACCCTCAAATAATCTGAAGTCAGAATTTGCATTTCAAACCTCCATTGTTGCACATTCTGACCATAAACTCCAAACTCCTAATTACATCGTGTGTTTTTATTTCTAATCAATCACAAAGTTTTCATACTTCATTTAGAACTCATCCCCATCCCTGTTTCATAACTTTAACTCCATTTTCATCATCTTCCAAACTCAAAAACAACCACCTATAACTTGACTTCTCCAGCACGATTCAGACATTTTCAGTATAAAGTAAGAGTTACATTAGCTTCCTAGGAGTCCAGTGAAGCTATCCAGATCATCACAAAACTTTAAGGGATGCTCAAACTACATACACGATTTTCAGTTTTGAGGTAAGTTTTCTCAACTTTGAACTCTCTCTACAAGCATCATTAATGGTTACTTTGTGAATGAAAAACGTAGACATCATAGCCCTGAAGCTAACCATGCTTTTAGTTTTCATTTATGTTGCCTGAGTGATGCGAATTTTGAGTTTGAACTTTCGGAAAAAAATTAGGTTTTATTTGGTACCAAACAAAATTTATGTTCATCTTTGATTTCTAGCTTTAGTTATTTATATGGTTGAATTCATGGTGAAAAATGGAACAACTTTCATGTTTAAATTTTTGAAAGTGGTTGATAAATAAGCAAGATCAGAAATTCAAAAATATAACAGTGGAGATGCTGGCGCGAAGTTAGAGATGAAGTACAGTCAAGACCAAGTTTATTTTATATTTATTATAACTTGTTCTATAAATAGATGAAAAGCCACCCCAGTGGCAGAAGAAGCGCACGTAAGACATTAGTGTATAGGGGCCTAGGTTCGAGCCCCAGTGGCACCCTTTTGTTTATTTCATAATTTTTTATTTCAGATTCAGTGCAAGTAGGTTGGGAGAGTCCATCACGTGCCCTCATATCAACACCATCAGATTACTATGTCAACAAATCCAACACATCAGACGTGCTTATCCACCATGAGCTCTCACAAGCCAGCCATATGGAATCAAAACAACGCTTGGGTTCTCCATCTTGGGGCTGCATTATTTTCTTTCATACACCCCTTTTGCTAAGACACCACCAGGCCCATTTCTTTTCTTTTTGTTTTATTTCTGACTTTTACAAAAAAAAACTATTTTGGGCCCCAGCGCTCCATTTTTCTTTTTAACTCCCTTTTTTCCTTTTGACACTCAGGCCCAATTATTTTTATTTCTTTTATATTTTCTTTATTTTCATTTATTTATTTACTTTATCTAAACCAAAAATACCAAAAAATATATTTTCTTAAATTAAATTAAAAATATTTTAATTTAGGCATTTTATTTTATTAAATTGAATTTTATTTTCTTTTACAAATTAGTATTAACATTCAAATTATTTTCTAAACAAGATTATTAGACTTATGTTTATTTTCTTCTTCATTTGAAATTAACTTAGACTTTAGGATTTTGTTAAAATTAATCAACTTCTTTTGTAATAAAAATCAATTAGTCTAATTAGGTTATCTTTAAACCTTTCCATCAAAACCCTAAGAAACAATCTCTTTCTTCCTCTTTACATTTTGTACATTCTATTATTATTCATATTCATTGGTTTGTAATAGATAATTATGCTTTATTGCTTTCTTCCCCCTATTCACAAATTGTACTCCTCATTTCCAAAGCTTCGTAATAGCGTAGGACATTTAAATTCTGCAATTTACCGCTTTCTTTATTATTGTTAGTAATTAGGGTTTGCATGACAAGACTAAAATCAAACCATAGAAAACCCTGATTCAAAAGACAATATATTTGAAATCAAAACACTTTGCACACTTTTACCTCTAGGGTAACCCACACTTGTTGCCTCGGATAAAAACAGTCATGTCCCTCGAACGCGGGATGTTTTAGCAAAGACCCTCGATTAAAAGATCGTAGTCCCTCGATGACCCTTCAATGTTTCCTTCAATAAACGATCTTAGTCCCATGCGATAAATTGCTAAAACATCTTACAAGTTGCCTTCTATGACTATACAATGACCCACGCCTGTCCCTCACATCCAATGACATGGCTCTCTATCAATCAATGGTGAAGTAACACTATCTAAAGGAGGAGGAAAAGAACAAAGACTTTTTGAGTAGGTAGATTTCTCGTAATTTCTTGCTCACAAACAAAACAATCTTTACACCTCACACTTCTAAAATAATTTTCAAAAACAAAACATCTTTCCAAACACTCCCTTTTGACAAATATTTTCAAAACAAAACATTTTGTATACATTCTCAACGATACGAGAATCATTGCAAAATTTCCACACTAAGGCTTTTTCAAAGTATTTTCAAAATAAACATTCAGTATACATTCTCAATGATACGAGAATCATTACAAAATTATCATTTTCAAAATAGCTTCAAACATTTTCAAACTTACAGAAACACAGTATTTTCAAAGTGATTAAGCAATTAAGAGCCCGTAGATAACTATAGATGAAAAGGGTGCTAACTCCTTCCTTTTCATAATCTACCCCCCGAACTCAAGAAAATATCTCAAAAGGTCTTTCCTGTTCTTTTCACTCTTTCATTTATTGGATAAAATAAAAGTCAGTGGCAACTCTTGCTATCCGCAACATTTGTGATCAAATGCAACACATCCAAGTCAGTTCTCCCACCATATCACAAAACTGGCGAATCTGCTGGGAAAATTGAATTAACTAAAAGTGGGGTTACCTTAAGAGTTAGATCACCTTTATTTGCTTTACTTGTTTGCCTTGTTTTCTTTAAATTTCTGGGTTACACTTGGGTTTATTTCTTGAAAAAATCCTATATCTGAATATGGGGTATATTAGGTAAGTAGCAATAGATCATGGAGACTGTATGGCGTAGACCGATATGGTTGAAGCAATAGCTACGTTAGTGCGACATATTTATGGGTACCGGTGTCCCTTGAGTTAAATCAAGGAGAATACGGGGTTGTTGAGTGGTGTCATGAAGCACTGACTGACTGTAGAACCTTAGTTGAACAACTTGACCATTAGATAGTAGTGAGATAGATGTCTTTGGTGCAAGACTAAAGTTGGTTGATACTCGATACTACACTCATTGAGATCGGAATTTCGGAATATTTCGATCACGAAAAAAGATTGCTTGTGCTGAAAAAATGCCCGATGAAGAAAGATTGATGATATTGAGATTTCTTAGAACCCGATTACTTCTTTTAGGACAGGTTGAACCAACTAAAAATTCAACAGGGTACTTACCTATAAACCTCATGCAAGCCTAAACCTAAGGCCTTGTGTGCTTTATGTGTATATGATTATTTGTTCATAACATCATAAATGTCATAATGTCATGCCATAGAATTTTCACTAACCATTCAAGGATCTAGGGATTTATCTTTGTTCTGTTTTGTAGGGTATGGATTCCAATCGCAGAAATACAATCGGAATCAGCTTTGTAAAGGTGCCTCCTTAACTCAAAGAGTTAGTATCAACGGTTCCTAAAGATTCTCCATTCACCAAAAGATTTGGTCGACTTCTCAATCTAGTTACCTCAAGCTTTAAAGAAGACATGATGTATGTTCTCTTTAAATTTTTTGATCCTAAACATCATTGTTTCACCTTTCTCGATTATCAATTGGTGCCCATAATGGAAGAGTTCTCTCAACTGTTAAGAGTACTAGTCCTTGATCAAATTCCATTCACTAGTTTAGAGGAAACTCCAAAACCTGAAGTTATTGCCAAATCCTTACATTTGAAGAGGTCTGACATTGTAGATAATTGGGAAACAAGGAGTGAAGTCAAGGGTTTTCTAGCTAAGTTTCTGTTAGAGAAGGCTCGACTGCTTTGGGAGGCTATGGATTT